AAAGCTCAGTCTCTTTTCATTTTCATCTTTCATTGAAAAGTCACTTTTGAAATTATGTCAGTGAGGTTATTTTTAGGAAGCACTGTTTTAAAAGAGCAATCAAAGACATGTAGGGCGATAATTTTGTAATACACTCAAAAATTTGGAACTTGTGTGTTTATTAATTTGGAACGCAAGGGTCTGGGAGATAGCTCAGTAAAATAAGTGCTCTCCTGGCAAGTACAAGGGCCTCATTTCAATCCCCGGTTCCACCAACAAAAAAAAATAATTTGGATCTCACAACCTTCTTCAATTAGTCAGTTTTTTTCAAGCCTTTACTTCTAAGGAAAAACAGTAAGTAAAAGCAGGAAAATTTCAAACACAAAGGGGTATATTCTAAAAACTCTCATAAAATTCAATGCAATCTCACTTTTTTAGATCCTTACCCAAAGTACTTTCAATGAGAATATTCAAAATTTGAGAAAGGGGTGGGGAATGGAAAGAGACATAAAGAGAGTTAAGATGTACTTTATACCTGTACCAACTCCCTACAACGAGTACAAGCATTATGTACTGCAACCACGTAATAATAAAAATAAAATTTTTAAAATGGAAACTATAAGAGTACTACATGATCTTAGTCACTAAACCCACTTTGTTGTATTTCTCACATACTAAGAAAGCTTCTTGCCTTCTGATTTGTGCATGCAATGGCCTGCCTATTGATGGCTAGTCTCATAAACTAGTAGTTTCAGAGCTGTGACATTAAACTTAACTAAAAAATTCACCTCCCTGGGATAGTCCACAACTTCTAGAGAAGTAGATGTTTTACTAGACACTGAAGAGTTTGCATTAAAGCTATCAATAAGCACGCATGTGTCACATAAGTAGCATAATTTGTAGGCTTTTGTTTTAAAAAATTGTCTGAAGGATTTCCCTTAGAGATTGGTTGAAAACCCTCCAGCTCTGACAGTGCCTGCAGCATTTCCCTCTCTGTACACCATGGGGCTGGACTCCTTAAATCCCACACACAGCCCTTTTCCCTGTTTGCCAAAGTTAATGGCCCTTTGCATAGCAGTATCCGAAGAGAGGCCCAAACCCCATCAGCTTTCTGTCCCCTGGCCTTTGTGGTTACAATTTGTATCACTGTACTCCTCATCAATTTGCTTAGCCTTCCTGAGGTAACTGTGAATTTTGGGATTCCTCTAACATTTGCCTCTTGCTATAAAGAGCTTTAGGGGAAAAAAAATATTCCAAATGGCACAACGGATGTTTTAGTCACTAAATTTCTTGGGAATTTAAATTAAAATAAAAATGATATGCTTTGTACATGGATTTTCTTGTACTTAAGCCTTTAATGCCAGCTAAATAACAAACGGGCCCATTAATGTAAAATTCAGCCTAAAGTCAATTGTATTACAAGCACTCTTAATGCTTGTACATTCTTAATGTAACAAGAAGTCTGAAAGGCACTTAACTGGATACAGCTGTATGCAAATTTGCTTTAAACTACTGAAGGTTAGAAAGACATTATTTTAATCTTGAAAAATAAACCTCTGAGTGCCTAGCATTTGGGTCTGTTAAACTCATCTACTAATGATTCCCCCATTAAACCATAATAAAGTGTTTGAAAGTTGATCCAGTCCTGTGCACATGGTAAACAAAGACCCTGGAACCGCAGTGGGCTCTGCCAAAACCAGCAAGCGGATGCTTGCGTGTATACGTCCTCGTGCAGCTGTCATTCACCCCCACTGCATTACATAGGTTTTGAGATCATTAAAGAAAAATACATAATCACCTAAAACTCACAAATTTGTCTTCTGGGACTGCAGCCCAATCTTTCATCCGATTCAGAAAGCTATTATCCAGTTGAAAGTGAACCAGGTTTGCATGGATGAAAAAATAAAATATTCGAAAATAAAATGGGGGGAGGTCAAGGTCCCAAAGATGGGATGCTCAGTTACAAGCGGGGCCCTGGACAGCAAACAAATGATGCTGTCTTCCCAAACATGCCACATTATGTTGTCTGTAGACCTCGAGTGGCAAGTTAAGGCTGTACATGTCTAAAGCTACATACATGGACACATTCTTTATTAAATCAGGAGCTAGGTGAATTTCTAAAATAAAATGAACAAAAATCTCATTATGAAATAGTAAGAAATTATCTCACACTATGGAAGACAAGGAATGGATTGTGGGGTGTTTTTACTGTATTTAAGCAAAATGACAGAGATACTGTCACTATTTTTTTAATGCGACCAAATTAGTTTGCAATGTTCTTGGTTCCCTTTGATATAAACTAGGATATATATTACTCTGCAAAACTTAAATATGCATAAAAATAAATATTGCTTAAAAGTAAACTATAATGCCCATTGTATTTATAATTTTATTAACTGAAAATTTAAGGACATTTTTACAAATAATAATTAATCTTGTCTAGGTTGTTTTCTTGATTAAGCCCAATAAGACCAGGTTATTTATTATTCATAACCACACACCCCCAAAAGAGCCAAAACAAAAACGAAAAAAGGAAGTAGAAGGACACAAAGAAAGAAAGAACAAGGAAAGTGGGTAGGAAAGGAGGGAAAGGGAAGAGAACGAAGAGGAGAGAAAAGAAAGGGAAGGAGTAAAAAATATTCATTTATGTTATAAATATTTAATTATAGCCTACTATATTCAGATATTATGTGAAATGCAAAAGATATAATGGCCAAACTGTAGGCAAATTTCTTAACTTTGTAGGCCTCACACCCTAACTGGGAAGTCAGGTATTAATTATATAACTGCACAAATAGGTATCATAATTATAATGTATGATGAATAGAATTTTCTAAGGCTAGCTAGGTATGTAGTTCAGTAGTGGAATACTTGACAAGTGTGCTCAAGGCCCTGGGCTTTTGTTAGAGCACTGGGAAAAAAGAAAAAAGAAGAAACAAAAGAGGCAGAGAGGAGGGGGGAAAAAAGGGAGAGGAAGACAGAAAGAAGGAGAAGAGGAGGAGGGAGGAGAGAGGAGGAGAACTTTGTACTAAAATGCTTAAACAGAGGTTAAGTAAGGTGGGGTAAAAGAATGAAAATTAGAATTATTATAAAAGTATAGCATGGAATATTATTGCTAAATAAGGTCAGAAATGTAGATTAAAGCTAAGCCACACAAAACCTTACAGGCCTTGCT